CTCATTCATTTGTGTAACACTATCATTGAGTGATCAACTGTATTGAATTGATGACTTGGTATATTGATTGGAAAATCTGTTTATTGAATTTGGCTAGTGAGTGTTCAATGATGTTGTTGTAGAGGAAGCTCATTCATTAGTGCAGGGCTATTAATGAGCAATCAATTATATTGAATTGATGAGTTTGTACACGGGTTGGAAATTTTATTTATTGAATTTATTAGTGAGTGATCAGTAATGGTGGAGCATGCGAATTAAGCAGTGTAATGCTATTAATCAGTCATCAATTATATTGAATTGATGAATTTGTTATTTGTTGAATTTGATTAGTTCAACCCTTCAGTAACAATCATTGCTGATTTGTAGATAAAATTTTATATTATTTGAAGCAAGTTTGAAAAAGTCCGAACTCTTAGAACTTTATTTGTCAGGCAAAAACAAAAAGAAGAAGAAAAACAACATTGGGCCTTAAATTGCACAAAGTGGTGGGCAGGCCCAACTTAACTTTGCTCTCGTGCATACAAAACACACACTAGTTACTCAATTATAACGAATCCAATAAGGTGCTAAACATTACAATTAACCAGTGAGCTTAGCTCCTTGCCCACCAGGGAGGGACTCAAGTCCCTTCTTGGACTGCTGTAGCAAAAAAAAATTTAAGAATAGTGCCATAACACTCTCTTGATTTAGTTGGGTTTTTATACCCACTAACCCCTAACACAAGCCTCCTTAGACTCCCCTTATTCCTAAATTAGGATAGAGTAAGTTATACAATGTATTATTGCTGGCCAAAAAAAAAAAGCTGAACATTACAATTGATTGAAAGTTTCTTTAATTTTTCAACGTGAGACTAATCTTTTGAAATACACAACTATTTACAACATCAAAGACCTTATTCTTGCTTGTTTGAGAAAAATTGAACAAAAGCACACCATTCTTCATTGAAATAACCTCTACATTCCCCAAGTCCTTCCATCTCTTTTCAAGAAAATTCTTCTATCATCGAATAAGGCGGAGAGAACCAAAGGTAAATCCTCCTGTCACTGCATTCTTCCATTTGTTCACCCCCTTTGGATATCTTCCTCCATTGTCCTTGCGGCAAAACCCAAATTCAGAGGACTCTGGAGGTACATAGGAGAGAGACATACATCCACGAGTCTCCTTACGCTGAGCAGCCACCTCTACCCAAGAGATAACCCCTTCCCCCCACTCCCCGACCCCGGGCCACTTCTTACTTCCACTACTTTCTCCCCCTTCAAAAGTTTTTTTTTTTTTTTTTTTTCTGTTGACAATGGAACTCGCATCCGCTAATCGAGAGTGCGCACTAGGTAAATCCCGCCATGTGCAATAGCTCGTTAACCACACGAAAGGATAAGACGCATTAGGTTATTCCATTCTTAGCCCCAGATGCTATGCTGGCAGTGGTGTGAAATTTCCAATATCGGAACAATCCAGCTGCTCACTTTGCAAATATTGAAAAAACTTTTGTGGGTGTTTTTGGGTTAACTGTTTGAATTAGCTGCTCTTCGAGATGTTTTTGAAAAATTTTACTGCAACAGTGTATATGAAAAACTTTTACGATAAATATTTTTTGAAATATTTAATATATTATATGAATGAGATATTTTTGTTTATGTATTATTGTAACATTATATTTAAAAGATTTATTTTTGTAAAATCCGTGAATACAAACGTAGAAATTGCCAACATCGGATTGCGGTTTGAAATTGTGTTATGCAATGATGAATTCTCTGACCCGGACAGCTTCATAAATGAAGATGAAGAATTAATTGGTCAACGACCAAGATTAACGATGCACCAGGTAGAAATTAGAAATTTCCCCGAATTAAACGGTTATAGTCTATCACCCACCCAACTAGCTACCATGCACCTAATATTTCTTGCCCTCCCCAGGAAACGAGTAAAAGCTTTTCCAGGACATTCCAGCAGTTTTCATAAAGCCTTAGGAGTTTGGGCTGTGACGTTGTCTCTTGTCCTTGTCGACACGCCTGGAATCAGAAGCAAAGAAAGCAAAGAAAGCAAAGAGAAAAATATTTTATCAAAAACAAAGAAAAATTGTTAACTGATGCTATTGCTATAAAAAAGAAAAGCAAAATCAAACAATAAATGGATACCTAAAATTGAATTGGTTCTCGATTATCATTCTAGAGGAGTATAAAGGGAAAGGGGAAGGGGAAGAGGAGGGGGATTGAGACAGAATATAGATTTAATCTTACATGTGCTATACACCAATACGCTCAACCGAACTATATATTTAAAACATGCACACGCACACCTGCTAGCAAGTTGAAATAGTTCTAGCCAGAAACAAAACTTTGGATAATATCATAAGCCTCTCTTGAGGTTTCTCTTAATATCACTTGGCACCCTTGAGATTTTAAAAATGTCACTTACCTCCCTTATTTTGTTATGGGAAAATGGCCAATTTCGTCCCTATACTTTTTTATAGTGTCAATTTAGTTCCTATACAATTTTTTTGGCCAATTTGATACCTATACTTATTTTGCGGTACCAATTGAGGAACGCCGCGGCGGCTACACCGTGTAAATTCGATTAACCTACTAATTGAGCAACTAAGCAGGGGTATTTTGGGCACTTTACTGCTGGGTTGAACCGAAGAAGGATGCAATTCTAAACCTACTGGATTTATGTTGGCAAGATTCCTGTTGAGTTTTGGGAATATTGGGGCTTTGCTGAAGAATCTCTACTGGATTTCAGTTTCCTCTGCTGTTCTGTTACAAGCTATCACCAATTAGAAATCCCTCTTCTCTGCAAACCAGCAGAGAGCTCTCTCTTCTTTTCCCAGCTGTTTCAGTACGTTTGAGGCCCAAAAGGACTTGTTCTGGAGTAATATGTTTTGGGGACTTCACATAAAGTGATTTTTATCACTTTTTTTATTCTTTAGAGGGCCTCATACCTGATATACAACCCCTTTTCTTTTATTTTGTTGGAAGAATTTAAATTATGTTAGGTAATTGATTTTTGTTCAATTGTGTTGCAGGGATACAAGCACATTCTTGGAGATTTTCTAAGTATTTGATTCAGGGTTTTGGAGTTGAGTGATTGAAGAAAAAGAAAATAAAAATGCCAGTGCCTCGGAGATAAGTCTTACTGAATCAAGAGTACCATAACAAAAGGCCAAAAATCATGGTTGAATCCACCAAGCCCGTGACGAAGATTCGGGTCTTTTGTTACGATTCGGATGCTACTGATACTGATTCATCAGATGATGCAAGGGTGATTCAAAAGAAGCCTAAGAGATTTCTTAGGGAGATTATTCTACCTATTGTGGAGTTGAAAAGGCAACCTCGTTAGCCTGTGGCTATGGCTGTTGCACCGAAAGCTAAAAATTCCTGTCAAGAGAGCAATAATTGGGAGAAAAACACCCCCAAGAAAAAGACTAGTTTAGCTAAACTGTAGAGTTAACCTCAATCAAAGCCTTCCTCTTCCAAATACAAAGGTCTCAGGCAGAGGAAATGGGGAAAATGGGTTGCAGAAAATCGCTTCCCGTTCAAGGGAAAGAGGATCTGGTTGGGTAATTATTTTATAAATGAAGCTTCAAGAGCCTATGAAGCGAAACAACTTGAATTTGAAGCTGGGGCCATGGTTGATCAAAATGCGTCTGAGAAGTGTTCTAATGTCAATCATGAATATAATAATCAATCTAGCTCAATGGCGGTTTCCTAGCCACATAATCAAAATGACATTCCTTCTTGTGTATTTGAGGACTCTGCTGAAAGCCTGGTCTCGCGTACGTCACCGGCATCTATCCTCGAGTTGGAGTGAGACCTTGTCTGCTACTCCGGCTATGGCTTCTGTGGATGGTGATAAGCAAGATGAAGAAGAAAAGGTGAAAAATGAAAAAGAGGTGAAGTGCCTAAAATACCCCTGCTTAGTTGCTCAATTAGTAGGTTAATCGAATTAACATGGTGGCGCCGCCGCGGTGTTCCTCAATTGGTACCGCAAAATAAGTATAAGTATCAAATTGGCCAAAAAAATTATATAAGGATTAAATTGACACTATAAAAAAGTATAGGGACGAAATTGGCCATTTTCCCTTTTGTTATTTATACAACAAAATTTTTAAAAATCCTAAAATTCCCTTTTATTTGCTAAATAAAAATATTCCTAAATCAAAGTTTGGAACTCTAAGTTTTTTGCCAAGTTTGTCTGCTACAAGTTTTTTAAAAATTTTAGCTACTGTAACTTCAAAACATTTCTCAAAAATTTTAAACTATACACTTTAAAATATTAAAAAATCTACACATTTCAAAAATTTTTTTAAAAACTTCTATAGTAAGTTATAGTAAAGTTTTAGACAAACTCCCAAAAAACCTCACCTTCCAAACAGGCCATTTGTTTATTTCAAGAAAACTATCACCTTAAAAACAATATCTAGTAGTACTACTACATCATAATGCTAGAGCCTATGAAAATATAAATTTAAAAAACCAAAAAGATATTTGCAAAATAATACATTTGCACCAATTTAACACTATATGCTTTAAATCGATTTCTTATGAACTTTATATTTTTTTCCCAACTTCTTCTTAACTCGTGCCCAAACTTTTAAATTATATTGATCATTATAAAAATCAACTCAAAATAAGCAAATAAATCATAAAAAGTAAAAGATAAACAAAATCCAATTTGCTATAATTTACAAATGAAATATTGCATAGTCATCCAAAAAATGAGTAAGAGAGAATGTTGTAGAAAAAGGAAAGATAAGAAAGTGACTTTCATTTTTTTTTTTAAAATTTTTGAGCTCCATTTATTTGATATGTGAATTATGTATCAAATGATGGTTAATATAATCTTTTTACAATCAATAAGGGAGGTAAGTGATATTTTTAAAACTTTAAGGGTATTAAGTGATATTAGGAAAAATCTCAAGGGAGGTTTCTGATGTCATCCGAATAAACTTTGGTGATCATAAACAGGTGCTTCTTGCAGGTAGAAGAAAGGGTTATCGCTTATCATCCAGCCAAAAGAAAATGCAACTCCTCATACCAATAAAGACTAGCACATTCTATAGAAATCCAACAGTTTAGCTATCAAAGGCAGTTTGGTAAAAATACAACTTTCACACGTTACCAACGTAATATGTACAACTCCAGTTGGTCTGCAATTAACAAAGTCATTTTATATCCCAAAAGCTGGTAGAGACCTAAATCTTTCATTTGAGTTGTCTTCCAGCTGCATTATGACCCCTGGATTAAGTTTCTTGTACAGCTCCCTCTCGCGAAGCCTCTCAAAGTATGAAATCATCAGTCCATTCTGTCTCGCAATTTTTGAGCGAACCCAACCAGAACTGTTTCTTGGTGCACCAGTCACCACAACAATGGTTTTATCATTAGCAAAGTTAGCTATAGGGATCATTGTCTCTGGTTCAGTGGCAGATGAGGCATCAACCAGGAAAATGTGACTGAAGTGTCCCGCCTTTACTCCTTCACTATGCAGCTTAAAACTGCTCATGAAGGTGGATAAAATTACCTTAAATTTTCCAAGTTCTTTGAGCGATGGACAAGAAAAGCACTCTGTTTGGCTCTCATAAAGACAAGAGGGTAGTATATCTACAGGAATGCCGTCCAGTTCCCTGAATGCAGCATTGGCCCTAAACATATCAGAGTCCGAGATCTCTTTCTTGAGGCCTCTCATGAGCAGATCGCATGTTCTGTTTATAGGTGCACACAGAAGAATCTTTTTTGATGGATCACGGCGAAGAATCTGAAGTGCTGCCTCTACAATTGCCACTCCAGTTCTTGATAAATGATCTCTTTCAATACACATTGGCCCCTCCACAAGATAGGGAGGCGCACCCTGAAGCCTCAATATTTGATGAACAACAAAGTTAGCTTTCTGATATCTGTTGTCCACACGCTGCGTAGAAAGAACTTCATGTTCTGGTGCTAAATCAGGAAAGAGAAAGTTCCTGAATAAAGCAGATGATACAGCTGCAATTGCTTGGTGAGCCCTTTTTAAACAAACTCTATTAAATGAAAATTTCACATCATATTTGCACTCCGAGCGATGCTGAGAGTAAAAACTTTCTCCAAATTCAGCTAATACAAGGTTGCTCTTCACCACACGATAAATGACACCCTATAGCAAAGTAAACATGATTTCAGCAAAAAGTATGACCAGATGAACATCAGCAATTTGATGAGACAAGTGAACAGATCTTCAATCCAAGTACTACTTCAGAACATATTTTCCCTGATGTAAACTTCAGATTATCAAATTCAAGTAGCTTTCTAGTTTATTTCAATAACACCACCTGGTTGAAGAAAACCTAGTTAGATGTGTAGTCGTACATGTCTCGGAACCAGGGTGGATACAATACCTTGCACTGCACTAAGATTCTTTTCTATTAAAAGATCCGCTAATGCTCTCTCCTTCAGTATCTAAACAATACTTTGAAAGATGTGATGCAAGTTCTTGTCCATTTTATGGTAGCCAAAAAGGACTCATCATTTTTCCACAAAATTTTACTTTGTTTCTCTTCAACCTAAGTAGGATCATATGGTGATGGCAGATAGAAAGCACAGACTGGACTAATGCATGCTAGAATAGAGTTGATACAACCAAAATACAAATCTCAAATATGCAAAATCAAGAGTCAAATTCATATTATTATGGTATCACCACTTAGAATGGTATATAAAAAATGGCTTATCTACGAGCAGCGCTATTTCTCTACTAAAGAAATTACTAAATTCACTTGAGGTTCCTGTGAAAATTGTCAAGGAGTTGCTTTAAAAACATGACAAATTATTTAGCGTTCTGAAATGGTCAAGTAGGCATTGAATGGTCGTACATTTGTCTAAACAAGGGTGGTTACATATATAATCTGACTCACTCTGCAGATAAACGTAATTGTATATGTAAATATGTGTGTTTTAGTTTTAATCTAACTCCAACTAGAAAGAAGCTACTGACTCAAAGCTTCCATTAAGAAAATTTCAGAAACTACTTGCCCTATGCAGTCAGAATTTTCACCACAATATAATAGGAGTTTTAAAAGTTAACCTGAAATGGCTCGATTTTCCGGCTACAAGGCTGTACGGAAACAAAATCTCTTGACAGCAAAAATGGCCTCCTTTCAGGTATCTTGTCAATTTCAAATGCCACAAAGGTCTTTTCATCTTTCAGGTCAGATTCCTCTAAGGTTTTATGTTTTCCTTTTCTTGCGTATATTGATGCTTCATGCAACTCCAGATTGACATTCTTCACCTCAAATCCATCCCATTTCTGTGAGTTGATGCAAAAGTATACTGTATCAGCAAAATTGAATTCTTACAACACACACTATAATTGGCAAGCCTAAATTATAAAAAAAATGATGAATAATGCAACAAATACTTGATCAATAGAAAACAAATGATTCTGCTTAGTGAGGTCCAAAAAGAAAATACAAGATACGGATGGGAGCTGTCTTCCATTGTAGCTGTAACGTAGAAAGTTTACTGATCTTTGAGGAGAATGTTTCTTATAGTTTCCCATCAGATCATTGTTTACTGATATTTAAGAATAAGCTTTCATAGATTATTACTGAGTAGAAAGAATCAAATTCCGCTACAAATGGCAAAGCCACATTTTTAGTAGACACTTGATGTGTCAGAAATGAAGTAAATCCTCATAAATAGGCTTTCTTCGGAGTCTATAGCTTGCCGTAAACTTAGTGAAACTGTTTCAATAACAATACTTGCCAAAAGTGTTATACATATACTTCCCAATCACCTGAGTGATTTCAGAAAGAACTAATAATAAAACATGCAAAAGAGTAATGGATGGCATACTGAAACCTGAAGTACAAATTGACATAAAACTTTTGAAAGAGGAATTCCAGGTACAGAGTAAAGAGAATGGTGAAACATCCAATACACGTAAATAACAGTTTGAAAGATCTGAAAAAATTATTGTGGATACTTGTGCATGTCAGAGGACATATTGTAGTGCTACAGCAACATATTTCTCTAGGAACTTGGAAGTTGTTAAAACATGAAAAGAATAGACTTGCAGATAGGATATTCATTGATTCTCAAGAATCCATCTTTCTGTCAGTATCAGGGCACTTTGAAGTTTCCCCCGGTCCATTGCAGTACATTTTCAGAATCTTGCTTTGTACTTGTCTAAGCATGGATTTTGTAACAAGGATAAGTTGATTAAGAAGGTTTCATGTCCATTACATGCGTGAAATTAATCTCTACAACCAGGGAAAATTGAAATTGCAAAAGCCACATCCTCCCAAGTTTAGAAGGTGAATCAACCTAAGGTTCAAAAGCCAAGTATAATATCTTGGTGTGTATCCGAGAGGGATGGTCCCTGGAACTGTAAAAAGCACCTTCAGCATATATATCACTAACCTATGCTACAAGCAGATCAAATAAGTTGGACAGATTGGTCAAATTAATATTTAAAGTGCCTCTTTGAAGTTAGGTTTAAAACTGAAAATTCTTAGGATATCCACTTTGTGTACACGCACAGGAAAAATTCCATCAGTTTTTTATGAGCTTAGATGTCAGAATCAAGTAAATTTTGTAAGTAAAAAATTTTATTCACCTCAATTCTTTATAAGGCAAGTCAAAAGTGGAAGTCTGAACACAAACATTCCCCATCCACAAAGCAGGCATAAGTTAAAACATTGCTGAAACAGAATTTGTCACTGTGGGGCAAGCTTATGCAGAGTTATCAAAAATGTCTAATCATAGAGCTAGTTGCCAGCTGCCAACATATGCAATTACAAGAATCAGAAACAAAAGTCCAACACAGTACCCCACTTTGAGATTCAAGAAACAAGCAAACTATGCTGAAAGGACTAGAGTTCATTTACCATCATAAGTCTATACTTGAGTACGAAAAGGATTACAACTGACAAGGTCTGTTTACAGGGCTTGTAAACTATGATGTCTTCCTCAAATTTTTAAAACTGACAGATCTGGTCTGCAAGGCCTGTAAGCATTTATTCTCTTACTAGTTACTGGAGATTCCAAAAACCTACACAAAGAATGTGAATCTACAGTAGCAGTATAGAACCTTTAGAATCCACGCAAACTATATACTTGAGATGCATCACATTTTCAAAGTCATTCAATTTTTATCCTTTGAGATGCATTTGATTCCTAAGGGAATGTGAAAACAGTCAAAATCAGAAAAGTACTAAACAGCCATCTTTTAAGAATATCTACATCTAAGTTATTGGTATGTAGAAGAAGCAGGATTTACAGCTAGATCAAAAAATAGTAGAAAAACTGCTGAATTCCATTACCTCAAGGTGACAGTCCTCAGCATACAACAGAGCCTGAAAGTAATCCATGTATCTTGACATAGACAAAGGCAGCTTGAGGACTCCTGGGACAATGTCTTTCTCAATCAAATCTCTAATATCCTTTGGAAACACGCATGTGGATGACACACCCTTTTTTACCCAAACATACTCAGTCTTTGTCTGTGGACTGATAGAGCTTGTAGATGCCAGAGACAGGACCGGCTTAGTTGACAAGGGAGGGGATTTTTGAGAGCAAGAGTCAGCAAGCTTAGTATAAGATGATGGTGAATCTGTTTCAAGGAATGAGTGGAGCTTCTTGGTGCCAGATTCACATGGTGACAGCTTGGAGGATTGTAAATGAGGCAATTTTGTGGAAGACTGAAATGATTTATCAGAAGCTGAAGATACACCAGAGGACAATTTCTGTTCAGTTGGCATACTGGCGCCTCTATTGCAAATTTGAGGATTGTGGCCCATAGAAGATGATAAATTGTTTCGGTTCTGAGTAATTTCAGCAGGGCATTTCAGGACTTCACTCGGCCTGGCATTAAAGGTTTGATTGACCAAATATTCATTAAAGGTTGTTTGCACCAAAGGATTGCAAGACCCTGGAAAAGAGTCAATATTTGGAGCTCTCCGAAAATCATAGTGGCTCTGCTTCAGATTCTGGTATTGATTGATTTCCCTTTCTTCATCTTCAACACAACAAATTCGTTTCAATATATGAATGAGGAACGCAATCATTTTCCCAAATCTCACTGCTATCCTGCTCAGAAATGTTATAAACATTTAGTGTGTCAATCAACAAGAGCAGAGTAAATGCCAGGTTGAACTAACTGAATCAGAACAAGTGAAAAGCAAACCAGAAACCATATTTTTGTCACCGAAATGCATCTATGAACAGAAATGATAACGTGTTAAACTCATGTGAGGTTTCATCTCTGATTACATGACAAACTCTATGTGTGAGATTTTAGCCTATAAGAACCAGAATGGATTGCAAAATTTAACTCTAAAACCAGAAATTCACTACCATAATATTCATACACTGTACTTAAAGCGGTCCATGTAAATACTAAGAAATATATAAATAGACATGTTACTAAATTAAGGAATTACAGAAGAACAGAGAAAAAGAACAAGCTGCCATCTGAGAGTACTTTCTCTGTCCTTACTTGAAGGTACCACCAGCTAATAGTCTCTAACCAGCAATTACAGCCTTGTATCACGCCATATGCACAAACACAGGAAGAAGGGAACCAATCCCTCAACACATTGCCAAAAACTCCTAATGCAAGACATGTTGGATCACATAAATATGTATACTATAATGTCTACTGAAAAAGCTAAATCTCGACACAAATTTCAAGTTTTGTGTTTGACTATCAGACAGAGCCTAATGCAAAATACTTAGCTGAACATGCCTGCAGTTTATGCGGTCAAAACTGTGCCAGAATATTTATAACGTGGACAGGAAGGTGGTAAAAAATGGCAGATGGACCTTCATTTACCTAAGAAAAATAAAATTTAAAAGCTATTTTCAAGAATAAAAAATACTACATTTTTCTTCCTTTTCTTTTTCTTTAGCAATTTACTACATACTTAGGATAAGTTATATTCAGAAACAATTAAATGAACAACATTTTGCCATTCAACCATGCAATTTTAGATTGACCACAATTTTCTCAGCTTCTACACATATCCACATGTTACATATTGATTTAACGGTATCCAAATGAGTTGATTTTTTGGTATAATAACCAAGTAAAATAAAACTGATGGTTTTCCCAGATAATTGAGATATAAATAAATCAAAATAAATGGGGGAAAATAAATAGAAAACCAAGGGGGCCAAGTCAAAAGTCTCAATTGTCCCTAAGAATTGTAAAAGTCTTACTTGTATCATGATTTTTCAACCCAAGAAAACATTTAGATACTAAATCATTGCCTTCAAAACTTTGAAAACACATTATGCATTAGACATTGCAATCATACATTTTACTTTTGCCACCAAAAATTTCAATAGTCTTATTTACAAGCTCAAATTTTTTAAATTATGTTTCTGCAATCTTCAAAATATGATCTGTCTTGCTAAAGACATCATTGTTATATCTTGAAAGACCACTGCATATTTTGTATAAGAATTAATCTGCACATGCATGCATGTATATACGTAGTATTTAGTCATTTCTCACAGTATATGAGTACATGAAAATGACTCTACTAAGCTAAGATAAAATCTCCAAGAATTGAGGTCCATTAATCGAAGCTAATAAGCTTTGTACCATAGAAAAATCTGCAAAAGAACTATCTGAACTCTGAAACTCACCTAAAGATTCCTCAGTGAAGATGATCGCATCTGATTACAAATTTATATTAACCATGTCGAACAACATAAAACCCAGATCAACATATCTAAAATTCAAACAGGAAATCTTCTCCAAGAAGGGGGGGGGGCGGGGAAGAAACTCCATGTTTTACAGGATTAACCACAAAAACTTACTTGGTTGCTTTAGCTCAAGTGGAGGGATCAAACAGAGAAATAAAGCTTTGTGGCGTGGATCTCACTGAAACAGCTATGTACCGTGAAGACTGAAGAGTAAGGATAATCTAACGACTGTGTGACAAAAAGCTTGGATTGTAAAGGACATCTTCTGTAGATGTAGGCAGTAGGAGGTGTGGTCGTACGTACATGGAAAAAAGTACTGTGGCTTCTGGTTTTTCCACAAAGAACTTGATTGGAGCCTTGGAGGTCAAGGGCGACAGGCTTCAATTATTCGAGTATAAAGTAAATGGAGAGTCGCACTCATTCCAGTCGGGATTAATTGGCCTAATACCAATAGTCAATACTCGCTTCACTTATTCGGGAATGGAGTTTTAGGCGCAGTTAGTGTGCTGTATCTATCATATGATGTATATAAATAAAATTTATGAGTGTAATAAAATTATATAAGCATATATCATATAGCATAAAAAGGAGAAAAATGCAATTTTGGTACCTAAACTTTGACGCATGAGCGGTTTTAGTCCCCAAATTTTGGACAAAAACAAATTTGGTACCCGAACTTTCAAATTTTGAGCACATTAAGTACCCTTGACAATTTTTTCCCAAATTGTTACCGGAAAAAGCCACGTGTCCGGTCAAAAATGCAGTTTTGGTACCTAAACTTTGACGCACGAGTGGTTTTAGTCCCCAAATTTTGGACGAAAACAAATTTGGTACCCGAACTTTCAAATTTTGAGCACATTAAGTACCCTTGACTATTTTTTCCCAAATTATTATCGAAAAAAGCCATATGACAGTCACGTGTCCGGCCACAATTGTATAAAAAAAGGCCCAAAAAATATCAAATGCCATTCTAATACTAAGTATTAAATTTAAGGACTAATAGCGTAATAAAGAAAAAATCCAAGGACTAAATAACATCACATGAGTCAACAAAACCCAAGAACCGATACAAATGAGCTCCAATTCTAGACAAATTTTGTGACTTGATTCTTAGATTAATGAACTGGAATTGGAGCTCATTTGTATCGGTTCTTGGGTTTTGTTGACTCATGTGATGTTATTTAGTCCTTGGATTTTTTCTTTATTACGCTATTAGTCCTTAAATTTAATACCTAGTATTATAATGGCATTTGACATTTTTTGGCATTTTTTTATACAATTGTGGCCAAACACGTGACTGTCATATGGCTTTTTTTGGTAACAATTTGGGAAAAAATAGTCAAGGGTACTTAATGTGCTCAAAATTTGAAAGTTCGGGTACCAAATTTGTTTTTGTCCAAAATTTGGGGACTAAAACCGCTAGTGCGTCAAAGTTTAGGTACCAAAACTGCATTTTTTGCCTTTTTTAATTCCATTTTGGCCGGACACGTGACAGTCACATGGCTTTTTCCGGTAACAATTTGGGAAAAAATCGTCACGGGTACTTAATGTGCTCAAAATTGAAAGTTCGGGTACCAAATTTGTTTTCGTCCAAAATTTGGGGACTAAAACCGCTCGTGCGTCAAAGTTTAGGTACCAAAACTGCATTTTTCTCGCATAAAAAGTACATTAACTGAACAACCGTATAAAATTGCCAACCGTATCTGTCCATAATCCCGCTTATTCGACCATGCTGTGGTAATATCAGGGTCTCTATGACAATTATACGTGTAGGGTGGAATGTGAATATTAGCAAAATATATGTAGATATTAAAACAATAAATGTAGATATTAACGTAATAATATGTAAAAGGATTAAAAGAAGGGTTAATTACATTTATCTCCCCTGAGGTTTGACCATATTACTAATCAATCCCTGTAATTTGTCCAAATAACGGTCTCACCCTTTGAATGATCAAACATTTAACAAAAATCCCCTTAATGCCGAAAATGCCCTTTTTGAGGCTATATTGCATTAAAAAAAGAACATATTTTTATTTATTAACCTTCAAGTAATCCAAAAAAATAGAAAAAAGTTTTTGCTTATTATTTTATAAAAATCATATCTTTGCTTCCATAAATAGTTTTGAATTAATAATTATTTTAAATCTTAAAAATGAATATTAAAAATTAGATAAATTGAAAGAAAAATAAAAAAGAAGCAATTATTTTAAACCCTCAAGTATGGTTAGAATTTGTGGTTCAAGGCATGTTGCGGAGAGCACAAGACATGTTTTCCTCAATTTGAACTATACTTCAGGAATTAAAATAATTTCTTCTTTTTTTATTTTTCTTTCAATTTATCTAATTTTTAATATTCATTTTTAAGATTTAAAATAATTATTGATTCAAAACTATTTATGGAAGCAAAGATATGGTTTTTATAAAATAATAAGCAAAAAATTTTTCTATTTTTTTGGATTGCTTCAGGGTTAATAAAATAAAAATATGTTCTTTTTTTAATGCAACATGGCCTCAATAAGGGCATTTTCGGCACTAAGGGGGTTTTTGTTAAATGTTTGATCATTCAAAGGGTGAGACCGTTATTTGGACAAATTACAGGGATTGATTGGTAATATGGTCAAACCTCTGGGAGGTAAATGTAATTAACCCTTAAAAGAATTAAACCTTCCTGTACTTTATTTTCAGTTGCACTTTGCCCCCCCTTCAACTCGGCAAATAAGTTTTTTACCCCTATTGTATGTTTAGGACAAAAGTATTGCTTCCATATTAATTATTATTTTATTTCTTTTTTTCTCATTTCTTGCTCTTTTTATACTTATCCTTTTTCTTTATATTTTTAATTTCCCCCATGTGATCAACTACTTTGTTCTTTTTACTATTATTATCTATATATTAATTTTAATCTTTTTAAAGTTATTATTCATTTATCTCTATATTTTTTACTTTTTGTTATTGGAAGTAGTACGTGTAATTATCATAAAATCTATGCTATAGCAAAGTATATTATCCATGTGCATAGACTACTTTATATATTATTTAAATCAATATGTATAGAATTTAGAATAAATTAATTTTTAAGAGCAATAGTAACAAATTAAAATTATAACAACATAGTGGTTAATAAACTATATATAAAAAAGTAAATAAATATATTAGTAACCTTAATTTTTTTGGATATACATTTAAATGTTAAGTAATTTAAAGTTCTAGTTTGATAATATCTTTTTAAATAGTCAAATTGTTAATTGTAATGGGCATATATTAGTTTTCCATGCTATACAATTTATCTTGAATTTTCTAATAGTGTAAATAAATAAAATTATAAGTAAAGACAATTACAATAGTAAAATTAGCATACAAATTAGTAATACTAATACGAAAGTGAAACAAATAGTGACATAGGAGAAGTGAAAAAAAAATGTAAAAGAACAAAAAAAATTTAAAAAAAAAGAACATAGTGAAAAAGGAAAAATAAGGGAATGAATAAACAAGAAAGAAACAAATTAAAATAGTAAGGGCACTTTTGTCTTGAAATATCAAATAGAGGGGTTAAGTGCTCATTTAATGAGTTCAAGGGGGCAAAGCGCAACTAAGGGTAGAGTTTAAGGGCGGTTTAGTACATTTAACCCATTGTAAAAATACAATAAGTTTTTTCATTTCTTGAATTTCATGCCTTAAAAATTTTGTCATGTTCTTACATGTTATTATGTTAATATTTACATTTATTGTTTTCGAGTCTACATTTATATGCTACTTCCTACAACTATATGGTGCAATTGCCATTAGCGATGGTAGAGGCCCCTAATCCTTACTAGGGATTTTAACCAAATATAATCTTTTTCTTCTCTTTCTTAAATGTGCAGATTTGATTCACTAAGGTGCACGCTTTCGCAAACAACATGCAGTATCCATGAAATAGCGTCTAATTTTGTGAATTTGGTGTGAAGTTTTAATACTCCTATTGCTAGGGCGTGGGTCTACTACAAGTACAGAGTTGATTTGATTGTCCATCTCACAAGAAAGTTTATAATTAATTTAACCAATTTTAACGATCCCTTTATTATATAATACTATAGTTTGCTTCTTCACTAAGCACTTGCCTGATTAAGTAATGGCCTAACAATTTAATATACTTGATACCCACTTCTACCAACACACCCACCATAATTACAGCAACTTTAAAAACAACTTTTGTGATATAAATCTTACTGTAGAATCATTAGGTTTTATAAAAGAGCAAATTATTCAGATGATTACTGAACTTTTGGAATCATTGAGTTTTTATCACTGAACTATTAAAAGTTAATAATAATGATGATGATTAGCTAGAAAACTAAATAAAACATACCAAAACTAATTAATAAAACACACTAAAAACACGTAAAATATACTCTTTTCAGTCATCATTCATATCTAAGTACTCATCTCTTCCAAGTATTTTGCACCTCGTGTGTAGTAGTAGATTAACATTTTTAGGCATTTCATGCAATGCCTTCTCAGCAACATCATTTAATAAATCAATGTACAAGTAACTCTAGAGATTTACATTGGGCACTCTTACTTTTCTTCCCATAAAATAGAGCATAATATCATGAATATCAGTGTTAACCATCCTACAATATTAGTTACTGAAGTTACAGAGCATACATCAGCTTTCTAAGCACAGAGATTTGGCATCTTACTACATGAAACAACCAAAGTCATACGAGAAACATAGAATCAAGTAAGCATATTCTGGTAAAGGCTACTCAAAGCAACTCATATAACAAACCAAAAAATCATATTAAACATGTATCAAGCTTACACAAAAACAACCTGATCAACATAGGCTGCCAAGGAATATTGAAACATTCCAAAATTCTTAAACATTAACTTGGTACAGCCTTAACGAGCTAAGAAACTCTTCATCGAAGGTGAGAATCAAGAGCTTTGTTATGCCATGTATCAAGCTAACTTGTGCAGGTATATCAACAATGGCTGGAAGAGTCCATCTGAAGTGACTATATGTACCTGCAGCTTTCTATATGTACCAACTGGCGCCTAAATTTGGCACCATTTTGCTGAAGGCTTTTTATATATTCATTAAAGGAATTTAAATTATTGGTAATTACATTAACTGTGTTTATAACTAACTTAACAAAATTTGTCCAAATAAACATAAAATATCTGCTAACTTGTGTAGATATTTAGTCTTTTCGGTCCATGATGATGTAAGCAATGGGACTCAAAATTCTGTCAGAGAAGGTCTATGATATTTTGGAAACCTCAGGAGAGGGGAGTAAGATTGTCAGAAATCTCAGGGGTATCTGAAATTTTCCCTTTTTTCAACTGAAACTTCGGGTGTTAAGAATAACATTTGAAAGCTAGTTTTACTGAATTCCTTACTTTAATGAATTCCATCTCACCTATTACTCAAAATCATTTCAAGAAAATTTTCTCTACTCTTGTATCATTCTTTGAAAATACTAGCCGCTCAATCATGCATTCAAGCCAATCGCATACAATAAGAAACGAAAAAAGTCAACAAAAAAAAAGAGATTTGCAAGCTAGCTCCTTTTGATCACTGTCATGTTCTTTGGAGGAGGATTGTCAACTCGAGAAGACTAATAAATTTTATCTTAAGGTCACATTCTAAGCTATGAGCTCATTATTCCTTCTAATATATAAGAAAAAAGTTTGTCACTTAAAAGTATGCGAATTTTATTACAACTTGGAGGAATTGAATGATGAGTTTTACAAATCTGAAGTGAATGGTTATAAAAATTTAAGTTTTGGTGGTTGTTGGCTACCATCAAAGACTTTAAATTTTAGTGGAGTGAAAAATCAAGGGTTCAAAACTTACCTTTCATTAATGTGCCACTATATGTGGCTTCTTTTAAGTCCATGTGGGTGCGTAGTGCACCCGTTTGATCCGATGATAATTTAGTCCTCGTCGATTTTTCTAGACCCGTTGGGCCTCTCCCCCTAGTGTAGGCTAGAGGAGTAGATTAGGCTACCTGTTGCGGTCTAATAAAACAATGGTTATAAAAATTTACTTCCGGTGCCTCTACCTTGAATGTTATATTTGAAGCGTATGATGGCCATATAAAATTTTGGTGCAAAAAGCATTTGGTTTCGCATAATAATTTTAATCTGAAGGATGCATATAATCAAATGAAACTTTCTGGTATGCCCAAGTCTAAGAAACCTGATTTGAATGATTTAAGTGATGATCATCATGTTATTTGCCGTGGTATCATTTTTGAAATTTTGCTACCTAGGAAGATGAAGGAAACAAATCAACAAGGCAATAAAATAATTTTAAAAATTTATTTTCATCCTATGAATCTTTTTGTAAATTTTATGGATAAATCAAGTGGGTTCATGAAGAATATCTCAAAGATGCTAGTTTTTTCACCACTTTTAAAAGGCTATAGGATGCGTACCACCAAACTAGTGATAGTCCACACAAATAATACCTCAAGGAATCGTTTAAGAATAGATTGAACTAAGCAAGATAAGTGCTAACTCTTTACCCAAATCATTTTTAAGGATGAGAGAGCAAGAAAAAAAAAACTTTCCTTTTCTTCGTTGGTATTCAACAAAGAGGAGGGAGACAAAGCCTTCCACTTCAAATTAGAATGGCTTGTTTGGTCTTCAATGAAGTATTTATAAGCATAACCCAACCCAAAAAAAGTTTAAATATTTGCACCATACCTCTTGAGTTAATTAACGTTTATAAACTAACTTATAAGTGTCTCATACTTATCTTATTCAGTCTTCACTTAATATCTTTTTAATTTGTTGAGTTTGTTGTCGTTTATGTGTATGACCCATTAGGTTTTCATATCATATTGGTAATAAATATGTATTACAATCATTTGAAAAGAAGTAGATAAATTAAACTCCTTTGATTTATTGTTCATTTGACTAATTAATCAATTCATATTTATAGATCAATATAGACATTTAACAATGCATCATGATCACCCAAGTAATGAGAAAGTTAAGTGATTTGATTTTACCTTTCTACGAATGATTGCTATATAATTATCATCTCTTCACCTTAACTATATCCTGATTAGTATAGAAGTACGGAATCTATACTGACTTCCATAAAGGTTAATTACTTTTTCATTCTCAAAATATAATTATCTTGAAATTGAAATTGGACACGCTTCAAATTTCAATTTCAAGATAATGGTTGCGAGATTGTAAAGAGGAAGTTAGGTGATTCTCTTTGGAAAGCTGCAAATTTTGGTGACTTGAAACCAATTGGAAAATTGTCGAAGTTCGTACTTGCCACAGTGGTCTTGATGCAATTCCAGAATGCATGAATGTTTGGAAGAGAATGTTCCATGTGAACTTCAATAAATTACAGTGGTCTTTGTTTGCAGCTTAAGCTTGTGAAGTGAATTTGCCAATTTGGTAATGTCTTGGGATAAGTTGCTGCCTACAGCCTACTCACGTCGGGTATTTGATTTGGAAGCATTTGTATTTGGCAATTAATGACCTTCTCTAACTAAGTACTAATTATTTCCAATGTTTTAAAACTAGGACTGTTAATTGAAGCAGTGAGATATTTGGATCACAATTCAACTGATTGGATTGGTTCAACTCTGGTTCAATGAATTTTTTAAAAATAATTTATATAAATATATGTGCACAAAATAAGACAACCAATGGATTAATTTAAGACTTTATATAATGAAAGGTTAAATATTTTCAAAGAACTTGGATTTTCACAAATATGTTTTTAATTAAGTTCAAATAAATAAATTTCATCTCAATATCAATTGGATCTACCAAAAATATAATGTTAAATCCAACCCCAAAAATACCACAATATTTTGAAATTATACAAAATTCATGTTTTTTAGAATTAGACATTGTGAGTTTAAATTTAAATCACATTTTTGAGAATTAGAGATTGGAACTTTAAAAAAAAAAAAAGAAGATTAGAGTTTGGAGGAAGTTAGGAAAATAGAAAATAAGATGCAAACTTAATAAGAGGCAGAAAATGAATAGGTGTGTGGCATTTAATGATTAGTTCGTAGGGTTGATAAAACTTGGGTAGACCCGGTCTATATAGATTTTGTAGTTCAAAATTTGTCACACCATCTCACCAATTCAAGTATTGAAGATGTTGTAAAATTTGGACCACCAATTCTACTCAAGTTTTTGCCTTTAGTGTTAAGGAAAACCCATTCTTTTTATTTTTTAAATTTCAGTTTAATAGATAAAACAAAAAATTGACGGTTCAACGGTTCATTTTGATTCAAACGATTTGCACAGTTCGATCTGTTAATATCAATTTTTAAGTTCAATCAATGCAAAGTATGTACCAAACCGAAGCTATGAATGGTCGTGAATATTGCATAGTTGCATCTGCAAAAACCAATCTGCCTTCATCCCTGGTAGGCAAATTTTGGACAACATTATGCTTTCTCATGAATATTTGCACTATCTAAAAATAAAAGGCAAGGTAAGGACGGGTTCATGGCTGTGAAGCTGGACATGTCCAAAGCTTATGACAGAGTAGAATGGAGCTTCTTGGATGCAATGATGGCCAAAATGGGATTCCACAACAAATGGAGAAACTGGATTATGGAATGCTTAAGGACAGTAACCTACTCTTTCTCTATAAATGGGGAGGTTAAAGAATATGTTATCCCAGGAAGAGGCATCAGACAAGGGGATCCCTTATCCCCCTATCTATTTCTCCTTTGCTCAGAAGGGTTCGCAAGCCTTCTCAGACAAGCAGCAGGGAACAAGAGGATATCAGGAATGAGACTTTGCAGGCAGGGACCAAGTCTTACTCATTTGTTCTTTGCAGATGATTCCCTAATCTTCTGCAAAGCAAACAAGCAGCAAGCAATAGAACTGATGAGAGTGCTGCAAGTGTACGCAACTGCATCAGGTCAACTGATAAACCTGGATAAGTCTTCTATACTCTTCAGCAAAAATATGTGCCCACATAAGAAGCATCAGATCTGTCATATTATGGGAAACATGCAACAGGTAAATCAAGGCAAGTACCTGGGGCTACCAATGGTGGTGACTAGAACAAAGGAACAGATTTTTGGTTTTGTACGAACAAACATACAACATAGGATCCTCAAGTGGAAGAATAGACTTTTAAGTGCAGCTGGAAAAGAGACAATGCTCAAGGCGGTATCAATGGCTATGCCCACGTACACAATGTCGTGCTTCAAAATACCAAAAAGAATTTGCAAAGACATCAGCTCTCTCATGTCTAACTACTGGTGGGGGGAAGCAAATGGTAAGAACAAGGTCCACTGGTGCTCCTGGAAGAAACTAACTCAGAATAAGGAAAAGGGGGGATTGGGTTTCAAGGAGTTGGAGGCTTTCAACATGGCTTTGCTGGGTAAACAGGTGTGGAGGATTCTTACAAATCCAAACCTCCTGGTTAGTAAAGTTCTGAAGGCCAAATATTTCCCTAGGAGCTCCATATTTGAGTGCAAAATTCCAAAGAATGCATCTTGGATATGGAGGGGCCTAATGGCAGCAAGGAAAGTAGTGGAGCACGGGGTTAGAAAGAGAATAGGCAATGGGAGGAGCACACAAATATGGGAAGACAGATGGATCCCAGATACTACCACTGGAAGAGTGACAACTATGAAACAAGGAGATAGCAGACTGCATAAGGTCGAAGACCTGATAATTCAGAAGAGATGGAACAGAAATTTGGTGTTCCAGTATTTTAACAAAGAGGATGCAGAACGAATCCTGAGCATTCCAATCAGTCTCGCTGGAAGAGAGGATAGTTACTTCTGGATGCATGGTGAAGATGGAAGATACTCAGTCAGTTCTGGGTACAAGGGGTTGGTATCCAATAAAGAAAGGTCACAAGAAGTGAGTCAGAGGGAGGTATCTACAAGCTGGGGGAAACAAACTCATAAGATGTGGAAAGTAATGTGGAGACTCAAGCTCAAACACAAGCTGAAGATTTTTCTATGGAAATGTTTGAACAACGCACTGCCTGTAAGGGAGCTAATCAACGGCAGAACCAAAGCAGGTGACCCCATTTGCAGAAGGTGTGGGGAAGAAGTAGAGACGGTGGAGCACTTGCTTCTGAACTGCAGAGAAACAAAACATATCTGGCACATTGCCCCAATCCAATGGGATGGGATGCAAGAACATCATGGCTGTTTCAAAAGATGGTGGATCTCTGTCACTGAAGCAAGGCATAGGATAGCAGGATCGCAACATTTGGCCTTAACTGTCAACATTCTTTGGCAGATTTGGAAGGCTAGAAATGACATGGAATTTACGGGGAAAGTTCATCAGCCCTGGAAGATTATAAAGAGAGCACAGGAGGAATGGCTACAATTTGATGAAGTTGCAAAGAAGGAAGCTAGGATGAGCACAGGAGAAACATCAACTCACAACAATGAAGACCAGCATTTAGAGCCGGATGAGGGAACTGTGAAGATGATAGTTGAGGCAACAAGACAAACAGACAAACCTATCTTAGGCATTGGAATCACTGCAGCTGAAAGGAACCAAGAACCAATGATAGGATGGGCGCTAAAGGAAAGAAGCTCAGGGGTACAGCTACTGGATGATGCAGTAGCATTAAAGCTGGCTATGTGCAAAGCAAATACTTTGCACCAGAGGAATGTACAGTTCCAAGTGAAGAACAGGCAACTCCTCAATCATATTCGAACTCAGAAGGCAAGTGACAGCAGAATAGCTACGCTGGTGGAAGACATTGTACAGTTGAAAAGGTTGTTTCATATGTGCTCCTTTTGTCTAGCTAGTAGTGATAAAAATTATCTAAGCTCTAGGATTAGCATGTATGCCTTAGGCATCACAATTGATGAGGAATTGGTGTTTCCTCAGTGTTAAGTACACTGGCTGTAAAGTCAATTCGAGCCTTTGCTCGCACTTGTATATCTTTTGAAAGTAATATAATCAAATATCGTTTCGGAAAAAAAAAAAAAAAAAAAAGAATGGTCGTGAATTGACTGGTCGAACTGGTTGGTTCGATCTGGGTTTCAAAATAGTTATTTCGCAATCAACCCCAAGTCAAAAGAAAAGTGGTCTAGTGACTTATTATTCTAAGTAACGAGTCAGGCTTCGATTAAATAATTGAAGCGACAGGCTCTACACCGATCTGATTGATTCAATTGGACTTCAAGGCACTTTTGAGCCTTATCTGCGACACTGAACTTCAAGCCTTGTTCCAATAATTGTAACACATATCCCACCAAGCCTGGAAGTGGAGCATAAGTAGAAAATGAAAATGTTATTTAATTTATTTTGAGGTAAAAATAACAAATTTATTAATGATATAGCTGAAATCTATCAGTACTATTTGCATAACAAAGGTCAAAGGAGAATTTCAAAGGGATTCAAGTTAGTTGGCAGAGTTAGCAAAACGTACTAAGTTATGTACAATCTTGTTAGCCTCTCTAAAAATTCAAATTACATCCACAACGTGTTGGTCTAATAGAGCTAGTGAACATCCTCAATACAGAGCCTATGTACGAGAGTATATCTTCAGAACTGCAAATCAATTTAATAACCGAAAATGCAACCTCTTTCAAAATGAACTTGGAATCATCAAAATCTTTGCAAGTGAAACTGCTTCTTTGGCGGTTACAGCTTCTGGCAGTTCAACATTAATTGGGCATTTGATTTTTTAGATAAGCCAAATAATGAATTGACCATCATGACTTTGAATAACAACTGTAATGCCAATCACTTGATTAACAGTTGATATATAAACATCAAAATTAATCTTGTATGTGGGAACTAGGAGTACAAACGAGCTAAGCCAAATCGAATTTTGGTCTAATTGAGCCGAGTTTCAACCTAGATTTATGAAACTCGAACTCGAATTCGAGCTTGACAAGCTCAAAATATAAAGCTCGAGCTCGAGTTTAAAAAAATAAAAATAAATAATTATTTCATTTTTTAAATAATAATAATAATAATTTTTCTTAACAAATAATAAAATATTAGGAATATGTATGTAATTTTACTATTAAAATAAAAAATAATATATATGTATATATAATTGAGCACGATCCGACTTGCGAGTTAATGAACTTAGTATTTTTTAGGTCGAGTTCGAGCTTGAATTTGATTTGGTCAACTCGAACTCGAGCTCGAGTTTGATTACTATAACTCGTTGTTGACCGAGCTCAGACTTGAGCCACTCGCAATTGACTTATGAGTGATTCGACTCGTTTGCAGCCCACGTGGGAACAGAGGCATGGACCAATCTGAGTTCTGCCTTGAGATGGAACCTGACACCATGTGAGCATTTGCCTTGAGAAAGTAGCAAGGTTTTTTTTTTTTGGTAGAAAGTAGCAAGGTGATGATGTGCAAAAATCGTCTTAATTAAACTAAATTAAATTATGTCAAGTCCCTTCACCTTTGGATTGAAAAGTTGAGCCAGCGTCATATGGCTCTTAACATAAAGGTGCAAGGTCCATTTAAAATGAAATGGATTAATTAATTTGTTAATTCACAATATATTTTTGGACGGGTCTCTTATTAAAACTCAAATTAAATGGATTTTTTGAGTTACAAGTTATCTAGATTATAAGAAGATTATGAAAGATTTCTTGAATACCAAACCTACATATTTTGGCTACAAATAGAGACCTTCCCTCAAACCAAGATATAGATTGAAATTCTCAAATTTTGGAAAAACTCTGTTAAACTCTCCCGAGAGCTTTTCTCCTCATTATCAAATCAACTCCAAGTCAAGTCAAACATATTCTTCCATTCGTGTTGAAGGCTTGAAAATTGAAGATTCAAGTGTTCAAATGTCATCATCAAATCAACCTTTTTTACGCCCCAATTGTACAAAACACCCTTGTTAATCAGAGAAGAAGTCTCTTCGACCCTTTGATTAAAGTTCTGTGAAGAGAAGAATCAGAAATTATGTTATGTGTGGCTTTGTCCCACACTGATTTTTTGTACAAGTGAGTCTTTTCCTTAGTTGGCTATAAATAGAATTGATCTATAACGAGATTAAGTGCAGCAACCAAGAGAGTTTTAATGGGTTATTTGGCCTTGGGTCATTAAGTTTTTTTTTTTGTAATAAAAATATTTTTAAACTCTCTTGTATTTTAGTATTAGGTGTTTCTCAGTTCAGGAACACTTTTCGAAGATTTTGTATTTTTTTTCTTCACAGTGAAATTCTTCTCCTCCTCCGTTCGTGGACGTAGGTCAATTTAACAGATATCTCTGATTTATTTATTTATTTTTTCTTTTGTTATTTGTATTTTGGGATTCCCGAGAACTCTTTCGTCAATTTTCCTAGGACCAGACATGATAGATTAATTTTTTTGATTCAAGAATTTTCAGAAATTGTAATCCTTTTATTTTTGATTTACAAGTTTTCTTTTTTTTGTTTAGGCAACGAAATTTGTATTACATAGATAATAGAACACATTCCAGGCCATAATATGATAAGAAAAATTTGGATGTCCAAGTGGCTAAAATCATTAAAGTAAGAATGAAATCATCAAGTTACATATCATGATATAAGGTAGGTTGTACAGCTCTTGGCAGGTGGACATTTTCTACACCCCATTTCTCGCACCCCATTTTTTGAAAAATAAAATTACGAGTTATAAAAATGAATTTTTGAGTGAAAATGAGTTTTTGATTTTTAGAAAATAAATAAAGAAAAAGGACCTAAAATGGAACTTAAAAAGTGCGACGGTTTTGGCCCAAAATAATAGTCTAAAAAGGGTTTTTAAGAAAAATAGGAGTCGCCACTTGGTATTGAGTTAGATGTACCAAGTCACCTAAAAATGTATTTTTAATAAAAATAGATAAAACCCTTTTTAGACGACTCCAGATCTTTGAAAACAAAAGAAAAGAGTTCGGGAGTCACGGTTGAAGAAAGAGAAGACAAACCCTTTCAATCTAGTCAAGGCTAGTTGCGTGATTTAGTCGAAAATTTTCTTAATCTAATCTACAAACTTGTCACATTTGGATGTTACTACATGGATGCAAACTTAGATCTAATGGATATCGGGAGGGTCGAAATATCTCTTCAGAGTTTAATTGGTGCTAATCACATTAATTGTGATGCTCAAAAATGATTCTTAAAAGAGGTTACAAATATGCAAAATGAGACTCAAAGAAAAGAAGAATTATAATATATAAATATACATGACCTAAAAAGAGGAATACAACATAACGGGTATGAAGAACTAAGATTCGTGACTCAATTTTCCTTTTTATAGAGGAGATACGATTGTGTTAAGGCTAAAAAGTTATACTCGTCCATTTCCCATATCTGAAGGATGACTCTTCTAATCTAGTCAAGCAAATGAGCTAGCTTATTTCTAATTTCCTAAATGGAATGCAAGTCTAAGTGTCATGTTTCGCACACATAGGGATAAAGGAAATAATATATAGAGGATATATCACGCAAGATGTGAAAGGATCCTAAAAATGAAAAACATGTATGAAATGCGATGAATATCACGCAAAGAATGTGAATCTAATGCGAAAAACAACCTAAAGTGTCTAGCGTTGGACTAACCCATTTCTACAAGTTTTCACTAATGTTGGACTAGTGAGAAATCGGGGAGAAAGACCACAACTAGCGTTGGACTAGTATGGTGACGTCATGCATTTATTATAACTAAATAAATCATATGAAACATAATAAAATCAAGTAAACACATAGATCACATAGCACGCGAAGCATAATATCTAGATGCAAACCTCCAATGAAAGCGAGTAAACACATAAGCACACAAGCATGCAAACACCCAAGCAAATAAATGCAAATAAGAGTCTAACTATTACATTCAGGGCCCTAATTACAATCTAAAGGAGAAAATTTAAAAATAATAATTTAACTATTACATTTATCTAACTAAATGCATTTTTAACAAAATTAAAACCTATCTATTACATAGGCTAGCTAAATACATGTCTTGATCGCCTATCTATTACAACTGGCATTTTAATGCCTCTCAAATAATTATCAAAATTAAATTAAATAAAACAAATGAAACTTAAAATGAATAAGAATGACTAATTAAAAGAAAAGAAAAGCACTCAAAACATGCAATTGCACATAATAACACATTGGAGCACATAAAAGAATTTAAAATAATAAAAGAGGTAACCTCCCTTGAAGTGGTGATTAAATGGGGTGAAATTTACTCTACTTATGCTCCAAAATGATCAAGACACCAATTTAATTATAAATAAATGAAAATAATCATGAAATCTACCAATCAAAGTACTTAAATGAAGCATAATTAATAATTAAAGAAGAAAAATAACTTGTATTTAAGAAATCAAAACTGCTATGGACTTAATTACAAAAAATAAGAAAGTTTTTGGGATTAAATTATAGTTATTACAAAAATTAGAGGTCAAAATGAAATAAAAATAAAGTCTAGGGACCAAAATGAAATTAAAATAGGGACCTAATTGAAATGAAACCAAAGTTTTTAAGGCTATAGTATAATAACTAAAAAATACAGAGATTAATCTGCAAAACGTTTTCTAGTTTCTTGAGTAAACAGGCCATGAAGCCATTTTTTTCTTTCTTTGGCCAAAGGCTCCCTAAGCCCGGTGGAAAACCCAAGAAAATGGGCAGGCTAGCCTTCATTTTTCAACAAAATAAAACCCAACCTAATAAATGGGCTTTAATCTGCTAAGCCCATACTTAAACCCATAAAAAATTTGCTAAAGCCCACTTCTAAAACCCAAGTAAAATAGACCAGATTTTTATATCAAAACCCAACCAAACAAACCTCAATCCAACCTCCAACTATTTTTACTAAACCCAACAAGATAAAAATCTACTAAATTTATTAAAGACTGATTATACTCTAAATCCCAGAAATAATCTGCTT